CCCCCTTATCACTGTCACCCATTTCTCAACCCTTGCACGCCCCTGCCATCTAAATCATCCGATTCTGTCACCGTTTTTTTACCGTCAAGTGCCGGCAGTGAAGGCGCTCTATAAATATAAAATTAGATTAGATTATAAAAGGCATGTGGGTTACAAGGGGAAAAAATAATGAATTATCCCTCATACGCCAGTTTGTATATTTTTATGCTGCGTAGTGATGTTAATGACAAACTTGGTGCGAGTTTGGTTTTGCTAGCCAACACTGCACTCAGCTATGGAATCTCATTCCATAGGGATACAGTGCTGTACACACTTCTACAGAGGCACTTACTGAATAACATCGTGCATATTTACTCAGACTTAAAATAAATGCAATTGTCAGCGTGTAACTTTTGCATAGTTTTTTATTATTTGTTTTTTTTAAACGTATTTTAATTTTTTTTGTTATTTTATATTTTACAATTAAACAGTTTCGTGATAAAAAAGGCACAATTTACAGTGAACACAGAAAAAGGCAAGGTTACACAAAAAACGCCAGAAGCAAACGTGCTTGAAATAAAGCTGTACAACAGAACCCAAGCTCAAGAGACGCAGCAGCGACTCAACAGCTTCTCAGCCATTTACACTGCAGCACACACACGTACATATGTCAGAACATCATTTACACATGGCAAGCGTCAGGTTCATTTCTTGAACTTTCTCTAGTTACTTACAGACTCGACATATTCAAACGGAATAAAATGAATATAAAAGCGACGGATTATATACAGATCACCATCATTTGCCCATATACCTACTAAGCATTACTACCATAATCCAAGAAAGTTGTCGTCTTGTTTACATGAACCTTAAACCAAAGTTAGGTTTGTATAGTGGATACGTTCTAACGGTGATATGTGCTAATATTATTCCAATTAAGGACTCTACACATTGACTTTGGAATGTGTATATCCTTTTGCTGAATACAGTGGCATATTCAACTTCTACTGATCATGAGAATTTTAAACTTTTAACTTTTATACCACCTTACATCTTTAAATGTCGCTTTCACTCTTTAAATATAGAGTAGCGGAATGTACGGACACTCACAATCACAGTAATGCAGGCATAAATAAAGTGAACACCAAACTGCTTTCAGTCCAACAACCGTGTGTGCGCGACTGTTCATGTTACGGATGCACAACATTCTAAAACACGCACGCCATGGGTTCACCTCAACCATATGAGATATGTCAGCTCACCATAATGACCACAAAGCAAGATTCTCACAATGCCCTTTTCTGTTGCTTTGCTGAAACAATTACTTCCACACATCAAGTATACCCTGAGGTTTTTTTTGCTACACTGTACACATGCGATATTACACAATCGGACCAACCGACGCCAGACCACAAACACGCGTAAGTTTTTTAACAACTTTTTTTTTTTTAAACACAAGTTCGATTCCCGACCGGTCCTCAGAAAGAACTGCACTTTCTATATTTATGTTCATTTCCACCAGCATTTTGCTAAATTGTCAAGTATGACGCACTTCAACATTGTCGAAATCTTTAGGTCAACATTTCTGTGAAGACAGAAAAGGCTTTTCTGTAAACTGTGTTCTTGTAGCACCATTAACACAGAACCCGAGATTGTAGCCGATTGGCTTTAGAACCTAAACTACACAGTACATCAATTTATGTACACAAATACTCAAAACATGTTTTGTCTTCTCATAATATGACATTAAAACACAAAGCAATTGCGCCATATGTCTCTATTCAGTACAGGTACTTCGTTTGAAACTATGAAACTGGCAAAAAAAATATATACATTAATGCAGTGGGTCACATTAACAGCATGTTCATCTGCACTCGAGGGCCAAACCACGGTTTCCAGTGTCAGCCTGGTGTAGAGCTGACCTTATATTATCTCTCAATTTCTGCTTAATTTGATTAATCAAATACAATAAACTAGCATGTAATTTGCACAATTTTCACAAATAATGATGCTGGACGCAAGATTGAGGTAGGCAAGGATTAGCGATGTCGTCATCAGTGCATCACGCTGGGCGTGCACCGCTTTGAGTTTCCTGTGTATTGGAGACCAATTAGTTAAAATTGTTTTTATAATCAATGAATCCAATCGTTTCAACGAGAGTATGGTGCTGCAAATATATATAATAAAATACAAAATGATTTACTGGTCACATGTGCGCACTCAGAGGGCTCACATCTCCTGTTTACCATCCTGAGACAGTGTGGAAATGTCACATTCTTATGGCAGGGGCAAGTCTATCCATAGGACATCAACCGTTGACTTCCCCGCAGCGTTACTCATCTATCAATCCGGGGAGGGGGGGCGGGTGTTCAACCCCCAATCAGGACTTGAACTCGCAACCTTCCGCTCACGAGCTGATGGCTCTAACGTGGAGCTATCTGCAAGTCATGACTAGTCACCAAATGTCATTTTATTTACTGGCTAGGCATTCGAGTGGCACTCCGGAATAACCGATATAGCATTTACTACAGGTGAAGATGCTGGTAATTATTTCCCACAATACCCTTTCATTAATGTGCCATGCTTGCATTTAAAACAAAAATCATAATATGAAAACAAGTACTGTATTAAACAAAAACGTTTCAATCTAAATGTATTTCAGAGACGTCAATCACTCAATATTAATCATCGTGAAACATGCATTTTCAAAGCTTAGCATCAAATGGTAGTCAAAGTACAACTAATAAAACATTACTCAGTTTACAAAGATAAAATAAAGCACAATAAAATATCCTGAAAGTGACAAATATTAGGTAAACACACAAAAATTACCTTCATGAACCATAAAACGGTCAACAATCATTTCAAACAGATGATGCCAATGCAGTACAGTACTTGAGTACAAAAAACCTACATAATATGCTAGTAAAAATGTTACTTTTAAACAAATGTCAACAAATATATTCAAAAGCAACTGTAAGGACGCTGTGAAACCAGAATATTTAAATACACTACAGCACAGTATTAAATTAGAAGGTGCAATATTGGGGTTGATGTTTGACTTTGCAATCTGTTGAACATCTACTTTTCTTGTTTACACTATTAATTAATGACATTCCTGATTGCGTATTGAAATATATTTTCCCTGGAATATTTAACTAAAAGTAATATTTTACAGCCCCTAGTCAATTTACAGCTGGATGAATTGTGAAGGTTTAACCATATTTCATCGTACTAGCAAGTACGAGTTTATGGATCACATTGGCCCGGGACCGATTCATATATCACTCACCACTGACTGTGGCTGGAAATAGAACTCAGGTTGTTGGGTTTATAGCGCAGCACTGCTGCACCCCAAAAAGGAGATTATTTATATTTGCAATGGGTTAGACAAGAATGACTAAATATTCATAGCAGGTGATTCACGTTAGTAAATTGAAACCATTACAATATATTTTATTTATTTATTAAATATTCCAGTGAAACCAGATTGATTTTGGTTTTAAATCATATACCAAGCAGGGGGGGGGGGGGGGCAGATAAAATATTCACTAATATAGCCAAGCTACAAAACTGCACATTTTCCATGTTGCTCACATACGGCAATTAAACAGTTGTGCACTTTGACAATTGCAATAGTTGAGCCGTACATGACAAGGGTAAATTATATTATTAAGCTTTTTCGGAGATTTGGAGTGTAAGTATGGCCATGAATTTATAATTATTTGTTTCTGGCAGCAAGTTGAAGTTCATGTTATTGTTACATGGATCATCCCGTTTAGCCAGTTTCCTGACTATTTTACAAGGGAGATTCATGGTGCGTGAGATCCACGTGAACGATGTCCTCATGTTTTTTGTTTGTTTTGGCACTATGAAAAGCCTCAACTGAATTCGAGAACAGCACATCGTCACAGGGGCAAGTTACTTTGCTTCTACATTTTTTTGCAAGACATTTACTGGAGTTGTAAGGAAGTTTCTGGCCCGAGAATATTTTCTTTCTTCCAGAACATAACTATTCAATAAGCCTGTTTTATGTGTACATTAACCGTCACAGCAATTGCGTTAACAAAAACAGTTGCAACTGCAATTGAGTATTTTTCTTTTATCCTCCGAATGATTTGGAACATTGGGTGAAGGGGGTGCGTTTTGGTCCTCAGTCTTCAAGTCTCTCATCCTCAGCCTCTTCTGCTGCTCTGCGAGCCATGAGTATATTTCCACAGTCTTGTGTCGCGCCGGGTACAAAAGTACAAAATGTCCATGTGAACACTTTCAAATCAACACTATCAGTGCAAATTAAACAGGGGCAGGGCCTTGTGAACATGGTTCCATAAATAAGGTAATCGATTCAACATTAAAACGCAGACCCACCAGAAAAATAAACATTTTGATAAAATGTGCATGAAATTCTGACTCCCCCCCCCCCCCCACGTGAACCCGTGATGAAAGATTGACAACGTGAGAGGGGGACATACAAATGTAACTGGGTGGTAACAGGGTTCCTTGATTTACCAAAGAAGCATCACGCACAATATGGAAGAAAAATTATTTGAATATGCACATTTAAAACAGAAATGAACTATACCTTACGATGTAAAGGTACCTTTGCTTTTAAGTGTACTAACTGTATATTTGAAAGGCTGAACTCTATACAACCATTTTATGGTGTAATATTTCAGCAACAACTTGTCACTGGAAATCACTTCTAAAAACACAGCATTGCCTACCTTTGCGCCTGCTTGTGAATCAAGATCCAGGTGATGTTTAGTCAAGTCGTTTGGGAAAAAAAGCATGCAGCTCTACAAAAGTCTACTCAAATTCCAGACATTTACATCTTAAAAAGCACAACCACGTAAAAAACAATAAGCTATGTTCATAAGCACACACACACAGAGAATGACACCAGGGCATGCAAACACATTGACTAAAAACAGTCCTTTTCCCATGTAACTCATGGCTCCAGTCCCATCAAAATTTGTGAGACCTGAATCCGGGCTGCTTTATAACATTTCCCCGGTGCTTGCCAGAAAAGGAGGCCCGGTTCCTGGCGTCATTCTGCCTCTGGAGCTGGCGGCGGCTGGGCTGCAGGCGTGGGCTGCGCAGGCTGACGAGCGTCGAGCGGTGCAGGCGGCGGGCGTTTTCCAACAGGCTGCGGGCCGCGTTCGCTGCCACGCTTGCAGGGGAACGGCGTGGTGCACGGCGTGGGGAGCTGGGCGCTGTGTTGCTGAAAAACAATGTCCATTTTAAAGCTAACTGTAAACGACACAAGCTCATATTCGACGTACAGTAATGCGTATATAAGCTCTCCGATGTGTTTTCGGTTGACATCGCATGCTGTTCGGCACGATGCCTAAAAGGCCAAGAGCTTCCGTTCAGTTCCTGATGACAATAGCACAGCACATGCAGTGTCTCTCGTGACGAGAGCACAAAACTAAAAATTGGGTTGAACAGCGTATTGATTGACACGTCCGACGTTTCACTCCACGTGCTGGGAGCTTCTTCAGGAATTGAAGCTCCTACACGTGGAGCAAAACGTCACATCATGTCCAACACAACATGCAGTACAATCTAAAAAGGAAACAGATCTATACAACAGAATGACAAAAAAACAATTTTTGGTAATTTTACAAATTTTATCCCGATTGTGCTCTCGGTGTCAGATCATGCGAGGTGGAATCCATTTGGATCTCTCACAATGCGGTGCAAACAGTCCAGTTAGAGAATGGCCCACAGAAGCAAATACTACAAAGCTACCTCTGAGATTATTTCAAGTGACCTGGTCTACACAGTAGAGGGCAGCACTGTCCTATCAACACTGCCATGAACGTATTGTCACATGGTATTCTAACCGATATTTTAATTCTCAGAGCTGGAATAGCCAAATTAAGAGCAGAAACAAATGTTGCGTGACTATTTTTTGTACGCAGTTATCGGTGACTGGGCGGAAACCATCAACTCACTACAATTTCAAAACTAGTTTAATCAGCTTCAAACCCAGAATATCAGCAATGCCAGCTCAGCACTGTAACCTTTTCAGCCACCGAGCCACTGAACTTATTCTAGGTGTTAATTATGCATTTAATGATAACAGTTATAATATAATTATCGCATTAGTACACCATGTGAAAAACACAAGGCTCTTTCACCACTAAATGGGCACTGCTTGCCAGCCAAAAAAGGCACAAACTTGGTCCAGCCTAACTAATCCGCATGTAACGATGTACACATAGATTAAAAGTAATTCTTACGATCATGATACATGTATTGAATCGTGCTTGGGAGAATTGTTTTATATTCATACATGTTGTAAATAATTGGCTCATGTTATCTCTGTGGCCACTTTCGGTTGAATTAACAAGTTAGGAAAAATCATGCATACGCATGGATTATGTAACACTTTCCAACATGTGTTTCTCTTTGGAAGTATTTCATTATCAGTATGAAAGCCATTGGTAGCTATCAGGGCAAAACGCATTTACATCTTAGCAATTAATCTTTTTTATATCTGGTTTGTGTCTCCAAGTTTTGGGAAATTATGACCAATTTGGCCAATTTTCAATAATCTAAGTCCCAAACGGCAAAGGAACTTTATATTACAGGTTCATTCATATTGGATCATAAGAGTTACTGTGCCCTTCGGTTCTTGACTGACAGAGAGAGTTAATAAAGACAGAGTTAACACTTTCAGCCTTTATTGGAAACCGTAAAAATATGTAGAAAAATAAGTAGATCTTGAATCAGACCACAACCTTAAACGACGACAACACATCACATCGCAAGGGCACCGATTCGTCACACGCCGTATAATCTGTTACCTTTGCGGAGACTCTTGCCCTCCCCTCTGCACGGGGAAGCGTGTCCGATTCTCCGGCCTGCGGCCCTTGGCCTTGCGCCGGGAGGGCTCCTGCCGCGTCCCCCGTGCTGCGGCTGCAGCCACGGCACCGTGCAGAGGCTGCCCGCTGGGCCGGCGACGGCGGAAGGCGGCATACACCGACATGCTCGGGTGTTCGATGAGGAGGTTCTCCAGAGGGCTGCTCTCAAGGCCCCGATTGGAGCTGCCTTCTCCCGGTGCTGAGAAACACGGCGGGGGAGCGAGCAGCCAGCTCTCCTCCATGCCCCTCGGAGTGCTGGGCTCGCTCTGGGAGCTGCTCCCGTCAGAAAATTCCGCTGCCAATGCACGGCCGTCCGGGAAGGAGAAGTCCTCATCATCGTCGCTGCACTCGGGACAGAGCGGAGCTGGGGGCGAGCCCACGCGCTTGGGCAGAATCCAACTTTCCTCAAGTGTGCGTGGACCTTTAAGGCCACTACGCGCTTGAACCGTCGGGCACTCAGTATTTTTGGCTTCTATAGAACAGGCTGAGGAAGTGGCTGGTGGAGGCTCAAACCAATTGTCCACAAAAGAGATCAGCTCGGTAGGTGCAGAATCAAATGAACTGTCACCGCAAGCATTGCCGGTAGCACCAGGGAAATTCACCTGCAGTGGTAGCGTAGGCTGACAATTTCTCGAATCTTCTGCCTCTCGTGAAGTCTCTGCAGGTTGTGTTGGAGTGCCATCCTCAGAGTTGCTGGTATTGGAGGAAGTAGGTTGCTGGTGAGGAGGGTTAAAGCTGTCATTGTCAACTTCATCCGTAAGGGCATCACGGGTAATATTGCCATTCACGTCTTCTTCGTTCAACGTTGAGTTAAGATTCCAAAGTGACGTTGGGAAAAAGGACAAGCAATAAACATCACAATTAAACCCATGCATATTCATAGCAGACATTCATATAATAACAGCTTAGGTTAATTTAAATGTTTTAAAGAGCGATTAAAACAAAAATAACATTAACAGTATGCTATAAAACCGTGGGCTACATTTTAACTACATATTACACTCGTGGCAATGCTTATGTGATGGATCATTATACTAAATACCTACGATCAAATAATCGGCACGTGTCCAAACCCTTCAGATTTCAGAAGCTAAGCAGATTTTTGCCTGGATAGTCCTTGTATGCCAAGTGTGATCGGCTATGTTCTGCGAGGCTGCGGGGTGACAGTATCGTTGTACTGTACCGATAAGCTCGAAACATCTATGCTCCCCCCCCCCCCGTCTTCACCAACCCGCATTGGCCAGTGAGCAGAAGTATAGTCAAGTTATCTCCGCAGTTCGCATCGCGTGAGGGATGCCCTCATCCAGTGGATTGTCAAAGGGCTGTGCATAAACACTTCTACACACATACTAACCAAGATGTCACCTCACTAAGCATCCACATCAAGATTATATTCTCAACACCTATAGATTCAATCTTAATTTTGGAGCTTTCGTGACTGCAGGAATTATTCTTTGGTTCTTTCGGTAAAGTCACGTATAAAGATAAAATAATAAATTAAATAGCATACTACGACGTTTCAATTGCAACACAAACGTCGTAGTATGCTATTATTTAATTTATTATTTTATCTTTATACGTGACTTTACCGAAAGAACCAAAGAATAGAACCTATAGATTCTTAGCTGCATACTGTAATTCATATGAGTAAAGGTGCAGCCCTGCATGTGCTTGTTCACACCAATGCTGGCAAAAGGGCTTCAGCTAGAGGGATCTCGAGTCAGCTTTCTCAAGGCGGTATTTTGGTCTACACTTACAGGCTGGCTGGACATTATGGAGTTAGCATAATTCAAATTACAGTAATATAAGCGAGGTGCGTATCACTTGCCAGTAAGGTCGATGATTATCCAGCCTTCGTCGCCGTCCGACTCGGTCAGTGAAGATGCGCGCCTGGACTGAGGGGCTGGGTTCTCTTCCTCTGGGAACAAGAACCCACTGAGCCTCTGAAACATGGCAGGTCCCTTCACAAGTGAAGGAGGAATGTGTCCGCCCAGGTGTGGCAGGCTTTAGCACCAGTGGTGGCTTGGTCGAACCGTCCCTCGGCAAGTGAAGGTCTCCCCCCTCTCGAGGATGTTTTCATGCGACCCTGAGACACTGCAACAGAAGATGTAAAGCAACTTTTAACCAGCTGAAAATGTTTCTGTTCAATCTAAATGCCTTGAAATTAATCTTTGGGAGAAAATAATTAACATGTAGTATGGATGTTGAAGTAACTTATAATGAATTGATGTGAATTAGTTTTTTTTTTATCAAGTTGGGGAGGGGGGCTATGACAGCTCAAGGTTGGAGGAGACTCAAGTTTGTAATAAGGCATGTCTGAACAGGCCCTTTTCTGCTAAAGTCATCAGAATCCTTGCTTCTGGTGAAGCTAAATGTTATTAGTCACACAAAGTATTGCGCACATACAAATGCCAGGGCATGGAAGTGAATTTGATAAAGGTAAACAGACCTTTCTGCGTGTTCAAAGTTGTGTCAATGTTTCACAGTTATCGGCGTAACAATGTGCAGCAAAATTGGAAGGTGGATGACCCTTTGACCGCATTCTTTTTCATGGAACCAAGGAGCTGGGAGGGCAGATGTGACCCAACTGCGTCAGCTATTTTGTGATCCATCACTTTAATTATGCGCCCACTAACAGTTGGAACAAAAAAATATCACATCCCCTTGTTGTGTGGCTCTACCCGAGCACTTGGGGTGGTGTGAATAAACCTTCGCAGATCCATCACTATCTCCAAGAGCAGATTCGAGGCTGAAACCACAAAGCATTATCAGCATGTTACGTGGTAACCCTGGACCATGCCCTTTTTATCTGCTGCCCTACTAAGTATGGCAGGAAAATATCCCTATGCTTGGTTACGTTGATGTTTTATATACACCACATCGACATGTATGCCATTAAGCGGCTAATAACAAATTATATTCATTGGTGTTGTGGGCTTAAATCACGCAACTTTACCTCCCTGGGGATGCTCTGTAGTAAAGTATAAGAGACAACAAGAGGAAGGCATATGTGTCTTATAACTGGACCTTATTGAAGGAATGTTCTATATAAACCGCAGCATTGACATAGATGGGGTATGGAAAGGCATATCAAAGTAGCCACAAAATGTGGAAAGTGCCAAAAAATCCATCGACAACACGTTGCTAAGCTGTTGTGCAAGATCTGGAAAACAAACGTTAGTGCAAATAATTAATTATTTTAAGGGGATTATGACCATGTCTTTAATACCATCACACTGGCATAATGCGGTCCAACAGTTCTGTGTTAACCAAGGCCGTAGCCATGGAGTCAACATTGGGGGGCCCCAAACTTTCCAGGGGGTCTGGGGGTCCCCCCCCATAAAAAAAAAAATCTGAATTTGAAAATGAATTTCCTGCCTAAAATATTAAAAAATTCACCAACACATAAGATGGACTTTTTATTTATTTTTTACAATAATGTCTAATAGTGTATTGTATTACATTGCTCTGTTTTTTATTTTTTACCTTTTCTTGTTTCATCATATGTAATGGCAGAGATTAGGGATTAATAAAGTACAATCATAACCACAATCATATAAACAGAAATCTATTTTATAGCAATATATTGGGGGGGATGTTTTGAGCATATTTTAATATTGGGAGGGGATGTGTCCCCTCCAATATATATTATAATCACGGCAATGGTGTTAACAAGCAAACCATTGGCAATGGTGTTAACAGCAAATCATTGGGAGCTGCGTATTGTGTGAAGAATGAGCGTGATTCACACTGTAAAGGGTAGCTGAATCTTTGACGCATAAACACGTTTCATAACAGCGAGGTCATAAAAGCCATATATACACACACACACATGTAAACACAATTACAGGACCATTAACTAGTGCGGTAAAAGTAAAGTCTTATCGAAATGACTTTATTTGTTTGGGCCATGTGTTGTGAGACGTGTTTACTCCCCCAAGGTGTTATTGATCCGCAAGGGGACAAATGATCGATCACGTTCACGTCACGGTGAGGAGCCGACGTCTCAACTCTCGACCAATGGCAACGGCGACAAAACAAAGCACGTCACGGAATCCTGTTTTGAACCAGGCTCCAATTTTTATTCCCGTCTCTTTATTTAGCTGCAGTTTCTGGTTTGGCATGCCGCTCTTAGCGAAATATTTTTTGGGGGGTTACAAAGACAACAAAACGTTGCGTTCTAAAACTTGTGAAATACTTTTTCTCCCCCCTCTCGCTTTATTACTTATCGTACAAGTGTAATGATAAGATGTGCAAAAGAATGTAGCGCGATATATAAGTGTTGGGCGAAGCAGCTGCTGCTCGGGGCATGTTTGGACTCGTCCGCTCCACACGCAAGTGCGAGAGATGTGGTGGTGGTGGTGGGGGGGTCATCTCTGACAAGGCTACGACAGGGACTGCCAACAACAAACGTGGATTGCACCAGCCACCGAGAGCAGCCCTGCCCATTGCCTGGGACACCCAGCCCACACAGTTTATTTCTGCACCTCAAGCATCACCGTGAACCCTATATACCCAGGTCATAGCTTATTAAAATAAACATCTATTTTGCACGTAAGAATTGGGGATCAATAACTGTGATTTATCAGCAGCCATAATGAAATTATCCCCCAGTCTCCGTCTCTCACGGTTTTGTAATTCGCCTAAACACCTGCACACGATCTGGTTTCAATAATAATGTTCAAATCTAGAATAATAATGTTCATTTTAATCTAATAAAGCCTCACCTGATTTTTTTTTTCAGGAGGGTCCTACATTGGGGATGTTTCGTCAAATCCAATTATAAGTGGCTTGTGGGGATAAACTGTAGAACTCAGAAAACCACTTAACCACACACACTTGGGGATAACACTCAGAGCGCAGCAAAGATAGATTCAAGAATCTGTACTGTCCCACCATGCTGGCCACCTCGCAGCACACAACCCCAAACCCTGGTCCGCATCCTCTCTCTGGGCAGTCTTCCATCCAACTACAGTCACTAACCAATCCTGCCCCTACATCTTTACTCAATTCCTGCCCATACCCCCACCCACCACCACCACCCCTATCGTCACATCACCAAAATTCAACCCTCAAAATAACATCCCGTAACAGCCGCTCTCCCGAACCAGAACAAAACACTCAAACCCCGGCCTGCGTGCTGTGTCCCCCCCCTCCCTCTCTCTCCACCCCTGCTTTTCATTTATTATTTATTCGCTTTTTGTACACGATGTTCCGCAGGGCCCCTGTGTGCGCGTCGCTTAGCCCAGAGGACGTCATCCGAAACACTGGGAAGGGCTTCAAAAACCTCGCTCGCTCGCACGCAACCACCCACACCCAGCCACGCCTCCTCCTCCATCGCTCTCCTCCTCTGCCCTGCCGAGCAGAGACCTCGGCCCCATTCAGCTCTTTGCCTGCACACCCCCATCCATTGGCGCCTAGTAACAAGCATTATTCCGAACCGAGCTGCCCAATGATTGCTCAGCGTGTGGACGTTGCTGGGTCATATTTCTAGCCGGCGTCAGCGGAATCCGACAGCCACCACCAACCACCACCAACACTTTGTCGTCCACCACTACCACCACTATCCCCCACCATCAGCAACCACCTCTTTCTTCATCCCCGCCACCACCACCACCACCACAAATCAACAAGCCACTGCCCCCCACTCTCCTCCGCCCTCCTGCCCTCAAACAAAGAGATTTCCTCGACATCACCGCTGCTAAGGGACACGAAGTTCCTCCCCAGGATTATGGTGTGCAGCTTTAGGGACAAAGACGCACCTAATGTTATTACCCAGTCTCACGTGTTAACACACACACACACACACGCCCAGAATCAGCAGCTTTATTTATGCTGGGGGAATCCGATGAGCTATAAAGCTCTTTTGCACAGATGATGCCCAAACGCACAGTAGTAGTGTGCATAGAAATATATTTTCTTTTCAACCAAAAATGTGTCACTCTACCAGTGTGTGTGTGTGTGTGCGACACCACGCCAGCCTCACGTCAATGACCACCACAGTCCCGGGTTTATATTGAAGTGAAATCGTTAGCAGTCTCTGCTGTGCCGATTTTAACACGTTTTATTGTTGGTATTATCTTGTAAAACAAAACCAACAACCCACGTCTCATTATTAACGTGTGGACATATATGTGTATATATATGGGTATATATAGTCCTTCAAGCCAACGTGTGCCATGTACTGTATAATACCACAACAACAGCTTTTTATATAATTATTATTATTCTCACGCTCCGAACGCGGATGTATCCAGATACAATAACATTACGCAGTTGATGTTGACTCTGGAGTAACAATGTTGGCGATTGCTCAGGCCAAGCATTGGCCATTGCAGCAGTGAACTAGGAAGGGAGTAAACAACTCACGGTTACCGCAGTCCACAGATTATACAATGTACATACCCCATGTGTACACACGTACATACATAGTCCATGTGTGTAACATACACATGGGCGTACAGTGATGTGTTACAGCACCATCTGTAGGGCAAGTGTTGCCTAACGGCAGTCTGGTCTACCACGCTACACACACGAAGACAAAGATCGCGTCCTCCCCACCAACATCCAGTTCTTGCGAGCACCTATGAAGGCCGGCACGAATAAGTGGCGGTGTCGTACATGGTATGGCCAGTACCATCCCCGCCAGGACGATCTTGTCTCTCCCCAGGTGCTGGTGTTTACACACCGCAAGCAGGCACTCGTTTGAGGTCAAGTCGACCAAGAAGAGGCCCAGAACAAACGCGCACACACACGCATATTCCCTGCGCAATAACAAAAAAACCCAACCTCAAACGCACCAAAGTCAGTCAGCTGAATAGGAGCCAAGGGCAGGGGAGTCTTGAAAAGCCCAGAGCAGGAGGGAGAGACGCCATGGTGAACGAGAAAGTCGTAGCAAAGACAACGCCAGGCGTCTACGGCATCAACAACAGCAGCAGCAGCCACACACGGTGGTGGAGGGAGAAGACATTGGCCCGCAGAGCATAACCAGAATGCTGGGGGTTCAACCCCGGGACGTGTTGTGTGTGCGTGCGTCTCTTACCTCGGGGGGGAACAGTGCAGCAGCTTGCACCCGCCGCCGTCGTGCACCGCGATATTCGTCGTCGTCGATTTAAACACACACACGCGTACACAATAATGTAATAATTATAGATATATATTTAAAAATATGATTTTATTTTATTGTTTGTTACAAAAATACGGTATATTTCCCCGACGCTCCGAGCCTGCCTCCGCCTTTGTTTATCCCGAGCTAAGTGCTTTAATACTTTTCTCCGCTCCTTTTTTGTTGTGTTTTTTTTTTCCTGGAGCCCGAAACAGCTGATCGCGCATGACGTCACGCCCCCAACACCATACAAGGCGAGGCCGCGCCCCCCCCTTCCCTCCCCCCCCTCACAGCTGCTCGAGCACGCGCACCGCCCCCAGCACCATATAAGGCGAGACCACGCCCCCTTTTCCCCCATAGCCACTCACAGCAGCTCGAACGCGCGCAACGCCCCGCCCACCACCAACACCGTATAAGGCGAGGCCACGCCTTCCCTGTTCCCCGTAGCCACTCACAGCTGCTGGAGCGTGCGACGACCCCGCCCACCCCGTGTTTTTTACGAGGTCGTCGACACGCCCACCGCCACCAAGCTCGAGAGGCTCAGGCGAGGCCCCGCTCAGCTGTTCGCTAAGCCGGGGGGGGGGGGGGACCCAATCGGGAGAGGCGCGCACCCGCCGCGAGTTTACGGGGGTTGGTGGGGGGGGCGTGGCGATGCCGCTGCACCAATCAGGAGCCGCCCCCCCCCCCCTTTCGCGGCGACGTAACGGCGCGGAATGGGCAGCGGTCACGTGCCGTGCCCCGGCCACCGCGCTGTTGCTATGGGCGCGCGTGCGGCTCCCAGGTCTCTGCTCCCTTTCTGTTCCGCATTATAAGACGCACCGGAGAATAAGACGCAGCCCAAACTCGTGGCCCCGGTGACAAGTGATAAATCTTGTTATACCCGCACGAATACCGGATTCTTAGACGCACCCCCCCCCCATGATTTGCATAAGTTTATTGACATTGGGCACACGTTGGAAGCACGTTTCTCAGTAGCATACGGTGACAAAGAAAAATACAAAGTTGCCGTGCTGATTTGGCAGTGGTACTCTGCAATGCAGAACGTCTACTGCTCGAAACGTCGCCTATTATATATTTTTTCATTTTAGGACGGTGTCATTGATGAATGTGTTGAGGTCTTTTTGTTATGTGCATCCGTTTAACAAAAGTGAGTGAGCAGACTGCATTATCTGATCAGAATCTCAAGCATGCTAAGCATGTTGAAGCCTGGTTAGCACTTGGATAGGAGACAACCTGCGAATACCCAAAGCTTGGCAGTGATGTGGCCAGGGCATGGCAGTACAGCTATTATTTTATCCATCTGTGCGGAGTTTTTTTTTGTTTTACCCACTCGTATGCTTGATTACCTTCCATGTGAAGACAGAAACTCTTTAAAAGGAATTCACCAAACACCCCAACGCACGACCCTCCTACAAATTAGTATTGAGGCTCAGTGAAGGTTTTCTTGGAAACTAGGCATGTAAATACTACGAAAGGTCAGTCATGCAGGGACGGTGAGGAATGCATCTGTGCATAGGAATACAAACATCGCAAATGAAGTATTTTGTTTGAAAATTAGTTGTGTAGTAAAGTACTAAACGTTGGGTTATCTGAAAAATGTTGCCGTAGGAAGGGTTGGGTTTGCATCTTGAGAAGTACAATATTCGTAGAATTCGCTATAGAGCTGAAACTGGCTCTACCGTCTCCTTAGATACTGGCTAAGAATAGAGAGCTCAGTCACGACATCTATGCAATAACCCAAACCCTAATGTTAACCCTTTACTCTTTTATGAGGGTGTATTTTTCCATCACGACTGCATACGAACTAAGCATGACAAAATTCGACTCTTTCAGCACTGATGTGGATATTTTGGAGTTTATATTTTTCAATCGCTGTTTGTTTATCTCCCCGCCCCTCCGACTAAAGAAAGTTATGTTTGCAAAAAACTCCCATCCAAATACAGCATGAAATATGCCAAAAAATAAAAACAATAACACCACGTGACAATTCATCTGGAATCACTGCTTGGAAATGTTGAGTGCAAATGTGTTTTTGTTTATTGTTCTACCGCACTCATGTAACTTCTGTAATAGCTTTTGAAAATGTCCACCTTTCAAGTTGGGAAAAGTAACGTTTGTGATATATACCTTTGTAAACCAGGTCTCTTGAGGAAAGAGATGGTATTCTCAATGAGCCCTTAGTGGGTTAAAATAAAAGCATACCTACCTATTTGCACAAGTCCGAACCAATGGGAATGCGCCCACTCTCGTCAGGTCTCGGAAGCTAAGCAGGGTTGAGCTGGGTGGAACTTATTTGGTCGACCACCATGCATTAAATATGTTACAGGCTGGGGGCGACGTTGTAGACAGCAGAGGGAAGTGCAGCAACATCCATTGTTGTACTGCACTTCCATACTGCCGTGTTTATGCCCCTGCCTTCAAAAACCATCACTGATCAGCGTGGTGAAGTATGGTCAATTAAGGCCCGCTGCCAGGGATGTACGGCATTGGAGACGCCCTCGTCCGGCAGACGATTAACAAACGAGTAGTTAAAACACTGTGGGTTTAATTATTCACTGAATATTTTCCAGGTCGCTGACAGACTGGAGTCGGAGGCATGTGACTAGTGGCCACAGTCAAAGCAAGAGAATACACTGGATGTGATGTGCTGTGCGTGCAAACATTGTCGAGGCCATCAAGAGAAAATACTTGGCTGAAATTAAACCCTGCATGTACGCCTAATATAGCCTCATCACAAGCTATGAATGGATAGAATGTGAAGACACAGTGATTTTGAATTAAAGCATCTGTTGGGACAGAAGAAGCCACGCACAAAGCCACAAGCAGTGTCCATGACTCTTTTATTACCCAGCCTCAGAAGGAACAGTTTTGGCACGCGGTGATTCGAAATTGATTTTTTTTGTTCAGATTGCGTAAGTAAAATGTGTTGTCAACCCTCCTCCATCTGACACAGCCAATTCATAAAGTTGTCATGTGAACAAACGTGGCAATATAGTACGGTACTGCTTCAGCACACCGGTGTGTTAGAGAGCAATCCACATTTAACAATAGCAGTTGGAACAAGAAGGCTTGGCAATTCCATTATCCATGATATGGGTATTTCATATCAAGGCAGATAATCGAAGTGGAATATTTACTGAGGTTTTGTACTATAAACATGCCTACAAAGGTTATACCTGCAAAGGTTATACTCGAGTGTATGGTTACACTGCTGAGTGTTTTTAATTTTAGGTTAAACGATTTGTGGATTAATATAGATTCTCAGGTCCTTGATACATGCATTCAGTTGCTGGTGTAAATATCACCGTTTTACAATTTGTAGATATTGTATTAACTGGCTTCAGATGATCCCTGAAATCGCTAGAGAATGCTGCATTCAAGAAAATGTTAAACATATCATTGATATTTTCATGTATTCGTGACGAGTCCTCGAATCTACGAGGAGCGGGATTGTGGGCCTCAATTATTGCACCTCTGTTTTTCACATGAGCTTCACGATTGCCTCTTTTTTTGTTCCATTTTTAAATCCTTTATATTAAGTTCACTTGCTTGCTTGTGCGCTTACGACCGTGCAAATATTTCGGTCGTTTTTTAACCCACTTCCCGTGATCCAATCGAGCTGACATTTTGCACACAGACTCGTTGTGCGTGACAATTTATTTTCGTGAAAAAATTTCCTAAATTTTCCACTTTTTAGAAAAATATAAATTATATTTAATTACCAATTGCTTAATGGTGGCAGGCAATCATCTGACCCATAGGTGGCAGCCATCTCAAGCCAGAGGACGAAAGGACTCTAGCCGCCACGCATATAAAGGATTTATAGTGAAAAAAATTGTTTTTACAGGTTAATTTTTCGTCATTAATATCCATGTTTTTTAACCATGTCATTTACAGTAGGTAAATTCAGAGTAATTTTAAATATAGAGGGTTAATGCTTGTTGGAACATTACAGAATTAATGTTTATGCATAATCGTACTTCCACGTATAGGTACTGTTTTGGGAAAAAAGGGATGTCTACGCAAGTCAAACTCAGTCATGGGGCAATATTTGCCAGTGTGTCTGTACATCATGGACACGTTAACGTTGATGCTGATGTCCAATGGGGATTAGAGTAAAGCATATGTTAATTATTGTCCTTGATCATCCACGATTGCAAGTAAACTTTGCTTTAGAAGCTAAGGCGATACGAAGTGTAAATACTTCAGTGGAATCGAGTTTCGTGTACCAAAGTTATTCACGCAGGCGTGGCTCTCACGTTGCGTTTATTCATTACTCTTCGGTCCATTGTGTGAAAGACTAAAAGACAAAGATTCCCAGTGTAGCCTCAACAGACTGTTGGGGCAAGTGCTGTTCGCGAGCACCTATGAAGGCCGGCACGGTACACGAGGGGATGGGTGGCCAGCTCCATGCCCGACTTCCTTTGTTTCTCCAGTGGCGATATTTTTACACACCGCACCAGGTACTCTCATTTGAAGCTGAGTCGACCTAGCGGAGGCCCAGGAACAGTTAAGATAATCGTCACTGGTGTTGGCTGTGAGAGGGAATCGAACTCGGGTCGCCGGGTTCGTAGCGCAGCTCCTGCTGACACAATACACACCTGAGTTCAATTAAATAATTTCACCTCCCCGTCTACAACGTCATAGAACATTTTAATGATGAAATAACTGAGAGCCCTTTGTCAATCCACCTCCGAATAAAGGCCTCCTCCCCATGCCGTATTACGGGGGTGTTTAATCATACTTCACCATGATGGTCTGTGGGGGTTGTTGAAAGGGGACCCTACTACCAGTTGACATATAACTTACCACTGATGTTAGCCGTGGCCACGAATCAAACTCAAGCCAGTGCGCTAACCACTTCGTCACCGCTATAGAAAAACAACCCATACATTTTGTGCAAAATTATGGCCCATCAAATCAATATATAGGCTTCTGTTCATCTCTCCACACAACAATATTGTGTACAGTACATTGACTACAAGTCTAGCCTATCAACATATCGGTCTTTCATACCAATATCCAGGATATGTTTAAACAACAGATTCTGGACCAGTTATACCTTCAGAATACTAAATCTGGAGTTTGTTAAATCTCGTTGGCTAGAGCACCCATACAAGATTGGTCCCGAGTCAACATAAAAAGCAATGCTGCTC